TTACAGAAGGCTTATGCTTAGGTTACCCTTTAATTTACATGGCCAGCTTTGCCCTGATCATACACGTTTCCAGCAATGTCACCATCTTTAATTTTCATGGTTGTTTGCATTCCTGTAGTTGACTTACTTAAGAGTTTGGCAGAATTGATACACCTCAGGTTTATAGTTATCAGTGTGAAAAGACATTTTTAAAATACTTTGGATGCTTCATTGACTGAAATAATTGGAAGTTCATCTCTAGGCTCTCACTGGGAGAAAATATGAATTCTCGAAGTTGTTGTTTGTTAGACACACTACCTGTGTTCTGTAATTTGGAAGTAGGCGTGGAACTGTGAAGCTTCTGTGTCTCTGTTTGTATCTACACATCAATGCACATACAGTAAATCATGTCCACATATTATATATATGTGGTTGTTCATTGCAAGCAAGCACTCTTCTAACTGTTAGACTGTCAGTTAAATTAATACGTATGCATGTGTGTAGCTGCCCTTCTAAACTCCATGTGTTGCACATACATGTTATATCACATCTGCATAGTAACAAGACTTAACCGGGGCTGTTCGGTGTCTCACTGAGCACTTCACATTGCTTTCTGCTTCAGGTCCTGTAGCTTCCCAGCAAGATGGTCTCTGCCAGTGGTATCCTCAGATATGCCAACAGTAATTAGGAGCTTTGATTTGAAATACAGTTCACACCTATGTACATGTGAAGCAGTGCTGTTTAATGTGTGAACTTTTAGAAAGCAGCTGTAACAAAGCTGTAACAGCTTGCTTTGGAAAAGTGCATCCCTTGACCTGGTCAGGATTGAGGTCATCTGGGGGAGGTAGACTTCCCATTCCTTGGTCTGCTCTATGCAGATGCAGGCAGAAGTGTTTTCCCCTGTTTGTTGCACCACCAGAGTAGCTTTTTAGCAGCACATATTTCATAATGGCAAGGGGAGGAAGATCAGGGTCAGGTGAAGTGATAGCCAGGGTGCAGTGTTCACCTTTGGAACAGTTTAAGAACTGGGATGCAGTGTTCTCAGGCTGGTGGTTCATAGGCTTTCAAGGCTCCGCAAAAAGCTCTTGGCTTTGGCTGGAGCATCCTGTCTCTATCAAAGACATTCTGAATTTTCCCCTGTTTGACATTAGTCCAAACTGATGGCACAAAATGCTCTTTTTTGTTTGAGAACAACAGGATTCTGGTGATTCAACATACTGAAGGAACCATTCATTCTATCAAGTTGCAGGTTTGTATTAAGCATTTCCCTATATTTTCTTTCCCCAGGTTGAAATAGTGACTCACACTGGGCCTCATCGACGCCTGTGGATGGGTCCACAGTTCCAGTTCAAAACAATCCATCCCTCAGGCCAAACTACCGTCATCTCATCCAGTTCTTCAGTGCTGCAGTCGCATGGTCCAAGCGATACCCCGCAGCCTCTTCTGGACTTCGATACAGATGATCTTGATCTCAACAGTCTCAGGTAAAAACAAAAGCAATTTCCAGGCTGCTTCACATTTGTTGTGTGAATAACTTGCCTCATGCTTAAATGAGGCCATCTGTGTAGAATGTGTAATAGTTTTCATCAGTCTTGTCCAGATGAAAGTCTTAAAAGTGTGTGTGACTCAACAACAATAAAAATTCACCCAGGCCGAGCAGCTCAGATTCCTTTCTGCTGCCTCTTCTTGGGTAAATGACAGTGAAAGACAGTACAAAGTCTGGTGCCTTGTTCAGCATCATCTTGGCTTTCACAGTTTCTGCATGGCTTAATAAATTCATTTTCTCAGACATGAGTGGGAGCTTTATGCCATAGATTTAGATGCTGACTGTGAAGTGGTCAGTGTGTTGGAACAGTAAGTGAACTTCTGGAATGTTTTTCCTCTCCCTGTTTTTTTTTCCCCTTTCCTATGCTTCTTTCCTTGTACTTCTTTCTCATGTATTTAATTCATCTTCTTTTGGACATGACCTGATTTGGAACTGGGGGCAGGGGGTTGACCTAGGAAAGGGAAGGAAGGTAAATGTGGGTTTGTATTTACTGAGAGCTAGTGATTTTTGTAGAAGTGCTTTATGCATCATGTGTTTCTGTGTCCTGTCCAGTAACTCAGGATTTAACAAGTTTCCATGCTTCTGACTGTGCATGTGATTTGAAGTCCAGAGTTCTGCGGTGTGGACTTAGTTTGGGACTGTGTCTAAAACTCTTACGAGTAAAACGAGAGATGGATAATATGACTAATCCCATTAAAACTCGGCAGATTGTCCTTGGACTGAAAATACATGGTTTTGAAATGTGTGATTTCTCCTTGCATGTAATTGCTCCCACAAGTAAGGATACGATTGTCAAATACGTTATTTTTTTTTATTGCATATATGTATACATATGCAGAAAGAAAGCATAAATTAAAAATAATATAAGTATCTGTTAAAAAAGGACAGACAATTGCAAATGTCTTCTCTCCTAAACTGACAAAGAAAATGCTGCTGTTCAGGAGGGTGATAGAGGCTTTTATAGCCCATTTGGATAGGCTGAGCTTCTGCCTTTGAGGTTTTCTGAGAGCTCTAGCCCAGACACAGTTTGGGGATATTCATTTTGTGTAGAGTCTCAGCCTGTCCCTAGATGGATTATGCAGGTCTTGGCTCCACGAAGCAAAGAAAAACACAAGTTTTCAACAGTTGGCTGATTTAAATATAAATAGTTGCTTAGTATTTTGAGCTGATTCAGGTGTGTGATTTAATTACAGCCCTCATGAGCAGTGACACAAGTGGTAACTGTAACTTGTTATTTAGGATTCAGCCAGTTCGGTCAGAACCTGTTAGCATGCCGGGGTCACCACGTCCAGTTTCTGATCGCAGAGGAGGTTCAACAGTGATTGATGCTACCTCAGGTAGAAACATGTTGATTTCATGTTTTCTTTGATATTCATCAATCTTGCCTTTTTTTGTCTGGTAACATGTTTACTAACTATTGCCATATACTTAAAAGAATATCATGATTTGCAGCTGCACAGTAGGGTAAGTGCTGTCTTATACAGGTACTTAATGAAAGCTACCATAATGATGAATTTTTTTTCCACCTCTTACCACTCAGATACGAAGTCACAGCATGGTGGTAAGATCCAAACACAATATTTACATGAAGTTTAACATGAGCTAGAGAATGCTAAAAACTGCCTAAACTAAAAAGCAGAACTGCAAATACTAACGCTGAAATGCTTTTATTAATGAATGCCTAAAGCATAGAATATTACAGTTCCATCTCATTTATAAAATAGCTTTCATTGAAATGTAATCGTAAATGTAATTGATTTCTGTGAACAGTCGAGACAACAGGATAGTTTATCTAATGTTTGTGTAATAGGCACATTTTCACTACTTTGCTCTAAAAGGGCATGTAAATTTAATACTACAATGGTTATGTTAATATCAACACAGTAATATATGTACTATAAAGTTTTCTTCTGTTTTTTCTCAGTGGTGGGGTATAGTCTATGTAAAGAAACAAGAACAGCAGAGCTTTATATTCTGGTGCAGCTGTATAGCCTCTGATGTGTCCACACAGCAGGATTTTGTCAAATAATATCTCTCACAAGTGGAATTATTAAACACACAGCATTAGTCAAACAGTCAAGTCAGAGAGGGTTTTAATCTTTAGTGATTTGAAAATCCCTGGAGATTGCTGATTGGATTGAGGTTAAACTATAAAAAGAGACTGTAACACACACAGAAACTGGTGTCTGAAAGTTGTTTTAAAGAGAGTTAAAATAAAAGCTCCTCTTCTGGACTGTTTGCTATTGATATAAATTCTGAGTCCAAGATCCTGCATTGTTGCCAAATTAATTTATTTGGGTATTCCAGGTTATTTGTTAGATGTGTTTATAACTGAGTTCAGTAATAAATATATTTGCTTTGAATATTGAAGATTGTCATTATAAATTCCATTTCAGATCTTTAAAACTTGTTCAGTTAATTCTCGTAGAGCTTAGACCAACATCTGATGCTGTTTTTTTAAAGGGTATTTTGTTTTATTATGTGACAAAATAATCTTGAAAATAATGGTATGATACAGAAGCAAACAAATGCATCACATTGGTTGGCTTGTTTTTACTAGTTCATCTATGCCTGTTAGCCCTAAAAGGTTACAAGCTTGAATCAAAAGAGTGCTTCTGCCTGTGTAGCTCACGCTGCAGATTCAGTGATTAACAGTATAGCTGTTCTTCACTCTCAGCGTGCCTGTGCCAGCTGATACAGATGGAGATAGCTGGGTTATCAGTGTTGGTTTTCCTTTCCTCTTGTGTCTGAATGGAGCAGTGCCATTACCTGTTTCAGGGATATGTAATAATGCTGAAATACAACCACTCTGTAACCATAACCCACTCTAAACCTGTGCTAGTCCATTTACAAGAGAAACAGTGAACTCCATAGGGCTGTACCTCTTCTATGCTGAACAAGCTGTGCTCAAGTGTGGATGGGCCTTAATGTGAAATGGCTCATGTGAATGTGATGAAGCTCTGTTGGTAATGCCTTTAACATGTGTGTCCATATTAAAATTGCCAAAGTCAATTGTATACATGGTTATGACACTGAAAATATATTTACTGTATAGCAGTGACTCAGTTTTGTTATAACACCTCATAAGTTTCTTACAAACAATACATGGATTTTGTTAGGGACATGCTGATAGCAGTATTTTATTTAACTTCATTGCCAGACAGGTTGGATTTGAATTGATTTTTGATTCAGGGACTTTACCATCTATGTGCAATTTTTGAATTGTCTGATCCCCATTCTTTCCCATGCAGGAATTATTGGCCCAAGTTAGGGTAGATAGGCCAGATTATGTGTGATAGGAATAGGGCTGTGAGTTCTGCTACAGAGCAGAGAAGGCACAAAGGAAAAAACATGCTGGTTTTTGAGATCTCATGCTACTCTTGTGGCAGAGCCCAGCAAGGCAAGCAGGATATTTTGTGCTGACTTTCTTCTCCTCCCACCTTTGAGATGTGCAGAAAATTACATTAAACTCAGCTCTGAATCTGAAGGTTTTATTGTAAATACAGTTCATGTACGACACTGCATTTTTTGTGTTCTCATCCACTACTGTAAGTATTCTCATTTCCTGCTATTACCATGGCATGCCCTAAATGGCTTACATTCTTTATGGAAAACAAATCTATTGGAAAATACATTTTTAGGTTTGAAGGATTTTCAAGTAGGTCATAAACTTTTACTGCCTAAGCTGAACCAGGAAGTGATTCTTCAGTTATGACCCATGCATTTGAGTCTGTTGCACTTTATGAAGATACTTATCTGGCTGTTTGATTGCCTGTTGCTTAGAGATACAACCAGCGTGGCGCCTCTTCTTATCTAACTCCATCGCTTGTTCTTCCTATCAAGAGATTGCAAGTACATGTTTACCATCTTCCATTATTCTTCTGCTATCCTTGATAGCTTCCGTCCTTCTCCCCTGTTGGTGACAACTCTGTTGTTGCATTGAACAAGAACTTTGTGTAGGTGTTTTACCTGTGTTTTTCACATGTCTGTAGAGCTGTGGTACACTAATGTCAATATTCTCTCACAAGATTATTTGCAAAACTCATCATTCAGAAAGCACAAAATACTTTAATGCTGCTATTACTAATGAAACTTTGCAGTGGCATTTTCAAGGTGGATGGTCACATCTGTAAAGATTACTAGGATAAATGAAAAAAGGCACATTTCAATATGGTTATCTCAAAATTATCCCAAGATACTAGTCCCCAGGTTGTTTGGGGGTTTTTGGTGTGTGGCTTTGGTTGCTTGTTTTTGGTTTTTAATGAAATCTTCAAGAGAAGTTTGCAGAATATAGTCACCTAAAGCTACTGGACATTTGTCCTTCAATGCACACATTTTAGTCATATGCATCATAGAATATACCCTTAAGGATTAAATGCACTGGAATTCCAGATGCTCTTCCAGATTGAGAGTTAGAAACGTTAAAGGGACAACACTGAGCTTAAATCTTTATAAAGCATGAAGCCATTAATAAAAACGCAGCAAAGGAACCATTACTGTACACATAGTAAGTGCACACTGTGTGTAGCAAGCAGGCGTGTGTGCTTGTGTGTCTGTGTCTGTCCTTCCTGAAGAAGTGCTGAGCCTACTGGCTCATTACGTTGGGTTTAACAACGGTGGGGTCTTAGTAAGTCAGGTTATGTTTAAGACCTTATTAGACACCAGAGATGAAAGAGAAACCTTACAAGTGCCTTGTCTGCAGGAGATGCTGCTGCACAACCAAACCAGCCAGCCCTGAGATAGAAATCTGAACTGCAACAAAAGAAGTGTTTGTTGCTGAATGATTTGGCTCTATTTCAGAAGACTTTACATTACCTGTATGCGTTGAATGCTGTCCCTTTCTTTGATGTGATGAGCCTTAGATACAATTTCCAGCTAGCTGAGGGTAGCTACAGAATGATGGAGGCTCACCTAGAAAATACAAGCATCAGCTGGACAAGCATTTCCAGGCACCTTTCTGATTTTTGATACTGTGACCTGTGGGTGATTTTATGCATGTCAATTATGTTACACACCTGAAAAATCACACCTAGTAGAACTCTACTAGTAATAAATAATGCAGAAATTGAAGGGTGTGGGAGGGTTTGGATGTTTGTATGGGACATCAGCTCTGGACTTTTCAGAAATGGAAAACCTCTAGAGAAGGGATTTCACAGCAGTTCCTGATCACAGTGAACGTGATCGCACAGCTGCAGTGGGTCTGTAAGGGCAAGTGTTTCCTTAAACTGGAACAAATGTGGTGAAGGCTGCCAGTACTCAGGTATGCTCAGTCAGAGCTGTTAATTCAATCCTGCTCAGTTAAAAAAAGTGTGCATCTGTGTGTGTGTGTTTATGAAAAGCCTTGTTTATTCCCTCATGCAAAGAGGTTTTTGACACTTCTTCGTCATTCAAGTAATGATTTTGTTGCATTGATAGCAGAGTAGGAGAAGGCTGATGAAGAAGTCTGACCTGTTTTGCATGAACCTTTTCCTTTCCTGCTTAGAGGAGATCTCTGTTTCTTTCTTGCTTAGGACAAATGCAGGATTTCGAGTGAGGAGGATTTTAATAAATATTATTAATTCAGTAATATCAAATCATAGAAGAAAAAGATCCTGAGCATTTTATTTCTTCTTTGATTATGTGTGGGGTGGGGAGAGCCTTTATGATCTCTGAAACCTGGCATGAGTTTTGCTGCTTAGGGATGCAAACATCATTTTTTAGTAAAGATCGGTTATTAGTGTTATATGAAACTCTTAACAATATTAAGCTCTCTTTTGGTTACTTCAATCAATGCCCACTTAAAATTGGCTTGTAATTTAGCACTTCCTTTCCTCTTCATGCAGCTGGCTGGTCCTGGACACAGCTTGTTGCCTGCAGAGGGTTTGGTGAACAGAAGAATTGACTTAGGTTTTGTGGTGGAGGGAGTTTGCCTCCCTCCTCCTCTCTGCCTGTGAAGGCTCTGTTATTGTTCATCACCACACCTGTGAGATAGGGACCACGGGACAAATTTTTACTGTCCAGCATTGCTCTCACTTGGAATTTAATAAACACTTCTGCTGTCACACCTTAAACCATCTGAGCTCTTTTCTGTTGTATGTGCAATCAAATATTTATTCCCAAATGCTGTACACCAGAAAGTGCTGCCTTGGAGTAGTGGAGATCACTTATTCAGGTAGTAAAGATGTGTGAATGCAGCTGGCAGATGAAGTCACCAACATTATGAATTCCCAGGCTGTCCTTACTGCCACAGGCAATAACTGACAGGCCTGAGTGGTCGCCGGTTTCCCGTTACGGGCATTGGTAGGGCCCAGGGAGTCCTGGCGTCACGGATACTTGAGCTGCTGTGCTTGAGAGGAGCCGGCCAGCGCTGGAGGGTCCTTGCTGCAAAGAGATGTAATCAATATGGTCTGGAGTCCTTGACCTGAACCTGTAATTACCTGGATGGTATAAAGGTAGTTTGTTGTTGCAGATAGAGATTGCACTCAGAAACTCCAAGTATAATGCTGAGCTCTGAAGCCAAGGAAGAGATTTGGCCCTTGGTCTGTGCTTCACAGCAATTGAGAGGTTTTAATAATGGGCATATAACAAGCTGTTCTTAGAGGGCATCACCAGTTCAGTAAATCAAAATACGCATCCAGCACTGCTTGTTTTGTCCTTCTGCATTGTCTCAGCTTAAAAAAGTAGTTTAAGTTCCAGTTCCTTTCTGGAATAACTTATAAGCCAATTCTGCTAATATTTATTTAGAACACTTATGTTACATATTTGAAAACCATTTTCTGCATTATTCCTAGAGCAGTGGTAGCATGTGGAATTATACACCAGGTATTTCTGTGTCCTCGGTGCAGTAGCGCACACTTGCATGCACTCATGCTCTCTCTGTCCTGTTCATCTCTCCTGCTAAATGCCTGTGTGTGCCTGAGCTGCTTCAGACAAAATTGTGGTTGTTAGTGTTTTTTCAACTTGATGTATTTCATCTAATTTGAGAAAATGTTATCTGATGATTTTTGAAGAGAGCCTTAAGACAGAACTGACTTCAGCAGGCTCCAAGATGCCAATGCAGTATACATGATTACATCTAGAAACAGCTATGCCCTATAGACTGTGGAGATGTGAAGAGGAATTAAAATGACCTGACACTACTGACTGGGCACTTGCTGCTGGATCATTGCCTGGCTTGGGAAAAGACTCAGCTGCAGGGATACATGGAGTAATATTAATGTCTTGAAACACTGGTGGGTGTTTTCTGTAAGCAGAAGTATGCTGGAGAGAGGACGAGTATGGGAAGAGTGACTGAAGGGCAGGAGAATCATTATGTACTGATTTATTTTTGCCTCTCTGTGGTGGTTGTGGGTTAGTTAGTCTGTCACATCTAGAGATAGGAGCTCACTGTGCAGCATGATGTAGTGATGTGGGCCAGCCGTTAACCCCGCTAGTGACAGCGGACACTTCTCATTCCAGTTTGCCTTTGGTTTAGCTGAGGAGGCTTGTAGGGCTTGAAGCAGTTAATCTCTCCTAAGGGGGTTGTGCTTTGACACATAAGTGTGTATCAGTTTTTAAAAAAGTGGTGCAAATTGATGCAAGTAAACATCAGAATTTGACAATTTGTAGACGCTGCTGTGTTAGGTGGAATTTGACTTTAAGCAACTTCAGTTACTCAAGGTGCTTAATCCCCTAAAGGCTGATCACCTTGGTCATCTTGCTAGTGTGACTTTTTTGACGGTTCACAGGAGATTTTGACAAACAAGAAACCCAGCAATTTCCATATTGGGGTCATAGCTAGATGAAAGCATAACTGTGACCTAACCAACACAATAACCAAGTACAATAGGGTTTTTCTTCACATACAAAGCTAAGTTGCAGCAAGGCCTGTGGGGGCTGTGTTAATGGTCAGTGGTGTAGGCTGCTGGTGCTCAGACTGTTGTTCCCATGTCACACAACCTGCTCGATGCATGTACCAGTGATCCATTAATACAGACAGTGGAGTGTCTTATTGCTCAAGTGTTGCACACTAACTTTGTGTGGGGAAGCCACCTTCAGTTCATATAATGGTACGTCAGCTGAAAAATAGCAGTGTGCTAGAGTGTGGTCTGGCCCAGGCCTGTAAATGCCTTGTATTTATTTATCAGGTAAAAGTCTAAAATGCATAATAGGTATTTTGTTTATTGGTAGCAAGCACAAACTTGTTCTGAATATAAAATTGTCTTATATATCCCTTAATTGTCTTTCATTAACAGCTGTTAATGTTCTGTGAAGGTAGCTTTAAAGCCTTGAATAAGTGGAAAGTGTTGATTCTAATCATATCTGACACCACAATCTTCTGTGGAACAACACATGAGCTGAGATTCCCGATGGGCTCCTGTAGGATACAATATTTATTATAACTTGAGATCTAAGAGCTCCTAGCTACTGTTAAACTTGCAAGAGATCCAGAAACCTCAGTGTCTGTACTTGTGTTTTCATAGTTTGCACAGAAATAACACACGGTACAGTATTTGCAAAGAGGCTGTTCACTGACATTTCTGCTCTTTTTATACAGTGCTTAAAGGAGTTCTACAAATTGTGGTATTTTTATAAGTTTGTAATATGTTCTAAACTCATTAGACTGTTTAAAATGTTCTTTAAACTGTATTAGATGTGCAAATTGAGAGTATTTGAACATCCATCTGCAAATGAATTTTGGAGTCAGTATTGTTTCAAGGAAAGCTTTCATTTAGAAACAGTTGTTCAGTTCATAATAGAGACATTCTTTTGTTTAATGATTTCACTAAATTAGGCTACACTTCAAAGTATTTGCTCACTGTTTTCCATGTCTGCTTTGAAAAACCTCTAAGTATGCTTCATTATTTCTTGTTTCAAGAGTACCTCCTCCCCTTTGGACTGTAGTCTCTGTCAGATGCCAGGTTTTTATCATCAGGATTGCTTACTGGTTCTGGTCCTCTTGAGACCCTCCAACTTTCCCTCCCCTGCTTTCAGAAACTGTTCCAGAACATCAAACCTTGTCCTCAAGGCTCTGCACTCTTCCTCTTGTCTTTCAGCTTCCTCCTGCCTGTAAAATACCCATAGAGGCTTGATGTCCATGTCCCTAGAGCACAGCAGCTGCCTGAATACTGTAGGTTGTGATGGCTTCTTTAGAGCAATTAAATCTGTAGGTATAAAACTGGGCATTAAGCCACCTCCAAGAATGTTTTTTGGGTTTGGTCACTCAAGGACAGCTAGAAGTGGTGCAGCAGCTGCTAAACAAGGTCTCCTAGTTTCATTGAATCATAGAATAGTTAGGTTTGGAAGGGACCTTAAGATCATCGACTTCCAACCCCCTGCCATGGGCAGGACACCTCACACTGGATCATGTTACCCAAGGCTCTGTCCAGCCTGGCCTTGAACAGTGCCAGGGATGGAGCATTTATTACTTCCTTGGACAACCTGTGCCAGGCCCTCACCACCCTCACAGTAAAGAACTTCTTCCGTATATCTGACATGAACTTCCCCTGTTTCAGTTTGAACCCATCACCCCTTCTCCTATCACTACAGTCCCTGATGCAGAGTCCCTCTCCAGCATAGAAAATCCTAATTTGTTTTTTTTAATTCCTCTTTTCATTAGATGGCAAGAATAGCTTTTAAAAATAAATACATTGGCTTGTTTAGAATTTTTGCTTTTTTCCCAGTAGTGTGATAATTGTGCTGCATTTTAAACCAGAAGACTCTACACAAAAAGGAAGGAGAAACTGTGTAAGGAGCTGCTAAGCTGCTGGTTTACTGCTCTAAGCTGTGCAAAGTGTGAGTTGGCCACAGTGTCATACCAGAAATTATTTTCAATATGAGTTGCTAATTTTCCTCTCACTTGTATTTCTTCATACTACAGATAATATATTGCTTTGTGGATAATACTGTAATAATGAAATGTTTGACACTTAATATTTCAGAGCCACAAAAGCTTGTTCTTTCATCAGTCATCACAGGTTTAATGATGGGTTTCAGAGTTCATCTGGTCTTATCCACTGCTCATGGTGGGAAGACTTCATGAAAGTCTCCACAGGGACAGTATTTGGATCTGTACTGAAAGAGTTTTAAACAAGAGCATCAGTCTTCACATGTGGGTGTTTTTTTAATATAGTATCAGCACATGCACCTGTGTTCACCATTGTTCCTCCAAAATGGGCAGGTTTTAGCTGTTGTTCCTTAGATTGTAACACAGATCATGGAAACATAGAATACCAGTTTGAAAGGGACCTGAAGTATCATCTAATCCAACCTTTTTAGGCAAAGCATGACCTAGACTAGATGTCCCAGTGCCCCATCCAGCTGAACCTTGAAAGCATCCAGTGAGCAGGGTGAGTGAGCAGAGCTCCATGTTCAGGTGTATACCATATAAAACTCAGCTATTTGGCATGATAAATTAGCCAGGCATTTGATCCGTGTTGAGTTGAAGTTTAATACTTTGAGAGTGTTATAATCGCAGCCTCCTCACCCTGCCTTCTCTTTGCTGAACTAAGGAGGTTCTCTACTGGAAATAAATATTTATATCCAAGTTGAAATGTAGCCTGTTGGTACTTGGTTGTATGTACTTTATTGCCTC